AGGAGACGTGGTTGAATAGACACAGTGATTCGGAACTAAGCCCTCCTTCGTCATTTTGTTGGTTTCGAAATGGTAGACCATCTCCAACAGGCAGTAGAGGTGGAGGAGTGGCCATTTTTGTCAATCAAGACTGGTGTGTAAATTGTAAGCCCCTGTTTTCATATTCTGGTGATTTAATTGATGTCATTGCTGTTATCTGTAAGCACTATTTGTTAAATAGCTATAAGAGTATCATATTTGTCAGTATTTACATCCCCCCTTCCACAAATGAAGGCTCTCTGGGTCGTTTTTTGACTTTCTCACACAAAAACTTGCTTCATTATCCTCAGTCCATCTTATTCTTTTGTGCGGTGATTTTAACTGTGTGAGCACTCGGCCCATTACCTTTCTGGGTTTTGATGACCTTGTTTCATTCAATACACGGGCTGATGTCCCTCTTGCTCAGATCTTGACCAAGTACCCAACGCATTTTTGATTAAAAATAGAGCTCCGCTCTCCGGGTCTGATCGCCCAGTGCTACTATGACTTCCAAAATTCTATTCCACCTCTAAGCGTCAACCGCTTACAAAACCCGAGAGGAAAATTACTGTTCGAGACACATCCGTAGATAAGATCCACTTACTGCAGAGTTCGATTACTAGAACCATCCCAACTTTTCTGGCACTACAATATGCTGAATTATGCTCTAACAATCTTATGCTATTTTTGAATCACATTTCTGATCTTTGTTGTCCCCGTGAAACTGTTATGGTCAGGCCTGACATAATCTCCCCACCATACCTCAAACACTTGAGACGTCGCAAAGAAGCCTTCTACAAACTATGTCAGCGTGACAAGGTGAAGGATATCAATTTTTTAATAATGAACGAAATTGCCAGACTTAACGGTTTATTCGTTAGTCAACTTTGTTCTACTTCATCCACCCCTTCCTCTCCTTTTCCTTCTGCTGAACTGTGGAGGGGTCTCAGGCGTCTAACTGGTCAACGTAATATACTTGAACCCATTGATGTAGATTTAAACTCTTTAAATCGAAATTTTATCTGTACTTCTATCGACTCCCATTCTCGCCCAAACGAAATTTACCTACAACCATGCGACTTTACTCCTGTGTCTGTGACAACAGTGGAACAACATCTCAAAAAGGTTTGCGGGTCAACGGCGGCTGGGCTGGACGGTGTCTCTCCTTTTCTCCTTAAGTCTTGCTGTTCGCAGATAGCCCCCGTCTTGACCCACCTTATTAATCTATCCTTCATAGAGTCCAAGATTCCTAACGCCTTGCGTACAGTAAGAATTATTCCAATCCCTAAAAATGTTTAACTTTTGCTCCTAAATCTTTCCGTCCTATTGCCTGCTCTTCTATACTCCTGAAACTTACTGAATGAGTTGCATTAGATTCCCTTAAGTACTCTTCCGTCAATTTTTCTGATCCTCTACAATTTGCAGACAAGGCAAAGCGTAGCACATTGGATGCTGTTGCTTTAGTTGTCCTTTCAGCTTTGAGAGACTTAGACAAGGGTTGCCGTGCATATGCATGTGCTTTTCTCGACTACTCATCCGCCTTCAATACTATTCCGCGCCAACTCCTACTGACCAAAGCAGCTGCGTGTGACGCGCCGAGCTGGGTTGTTTCTTGGCTTAGAGATTATTTTTCATTCCGCACACAGTTTTGTCCAGTCGGGAAAGTGAAAATCCTCTATTCTTCCAAATAATTGTGTAGTTCTACAAGGTTCTATCTTATCCCCTCATCTTTTCTCCCTACATACTGATGATTTGAGATCGCCAAACGACTGCCTGTATGTTAAGTATGCCGATGACATGGTCGTAGGCCACTCAATCAAAAACCGGACTCACCTAGAGTCTTTAAAGTATGGCTTAGATCATGTCTCCGCATGGTCGTCGAATAATGGACTCCTACTCAACAATCAGAAATCAGTACAATGTTTGTTTCGATTGCGACCCTCTCCCATTCCTGAACCTTTGAATATTCTTCCCAATGAGGTATCCTCTTTCCGGTACCTAGGTGTTACTTTGACCTCAAATCTCTCTTTCTCTCTTCATAGGGAAACGTTTTTAACAAAAATTCAAAAATTTGTTTATGACATTCGTCGTCTACGTTCATATCACACACCACAGTCCTTAATCGGGCGATTCATAGATGGCTGTATTCTCCCACTCATTCTTTATTGTTCTCCAGTTATTTTTCCAGTTTTAATTAAAAAAGATCTAATTATTTTTAAACGTGTCATTCGAATGCTCGCCTCTGCTGCTGGTGTCTCCTACCATATTTTAGTTGATATCGTCGTGCAGCGACACTTCAATACTATGGAGCAATTTGCTGACCGAATTCTGAATGACACCGTCCATCCCCTTCATAATGAGTTAATGGCTCCGAAATCCTTACGCCCCATGCGTCGATGCTTCCGCCACATCCCTTGTCGCACTTTGGCTTATCAGAATTCCATACTGCCATTTTTAGTCCGGGATCTCACCTGCAAAGATGCTGAAAAACAAAAGCTAAAACTTGATCTTGCACCCTTAAGTCCTTTTTTCTTCATACATAAATATGTCCACCTGTCCAATACCTGTTAATCTCTATGGTAATCACTGTGTACAGGAGAACCGTTTTTGCTGAAAGTTTTGAATGTTATTTTCAAAATAAAGCATTCCCCTCTCTCTCTCTAGCCGAGCATTTTGAAAAGACTTTAGGAGATATTATTGTCTTGACTAACGGGAGCACGGGAATCGACCAACTGAGGTGAGGGACGAGTGACAAGGACACGAGCCGAAGCCGATTGCTGATTCTACGCTCGAATACTACCGGAGTTAATGTGCCAATTAAGTAGCTTTAGCATGAGAAGCTGTAGATCAACTTCGTTGTTGGTTAATCAGACGATGAATGAAAATTTAACCCACCGACTTAATGTTAATGAAATACTAGGGAATGCTTCTTGGAATGTTTGATATAATACCAGTCAGGTGCGAACTGATTATGAAAAGTGCGTTTTTCTGTATTACCTGATGAGTAACTGGCTGGCCGTAAATTAGCAGGAAGTTAAGCAAAACTAGTTAGGTCAATGGCTCTTGATAATCACTTAGAACGAATGGTTAAGGTGACTGTGTAATATGATGTCTGAAAATTAAAAAAACATTGACCAAGCGAGAAAGGTAAAGAAATGACGGGCATAGATTCGTAACGGCAAAGCTCCATTTGTAAAACACTAAAGTATTCGGAATTGACCATCTGGGGACATATGGTAGCGACATTTGTTTAAATGCATATATATACACACGAACATTGGGTTGGATGACCAAAAGGTGCTTTATTATTCACCATGGCATTATTGCATTATTTTTATAAAAAACGAACGATACATGGAAGAAAATCCACGGTCTGATTATTCAGGCAATCCTGCTAGAAAGCACACAGACTTGGCGTTTATTCTAACGCAAAGTCAAAGACAGGGTAAGCATTAAGTTTAATTTAACCTAGATATCGTGTTGCCGCAAGCAAGTGTCTACAGTTCATTATGCTACGTTTATGTGCCAAAGCAGCGAAGTAGAACTAAGCTTTCATAGGCGTCGACAAACATCAAGAGGTAGCCTTCTGGAACTAAATATACTACGAAACGAGTGGCTTATCATGCATAAAATGGTCAATACTATTTTTTTTCAAACAATATAGGACGCAAAATGTAGCTGCGCGCTGTAATGGCCTCTAAAGGAAATACTATGCGTCCGTTACTACTAATAAAAGCCATCATTCAGGCTGTCTTGTACATATGCGGGCTCGGGTTAGGCAGGGTTTAGAGATGCCCTCAAATGTCACGAAATTTGGCTTAGGTAAGGTTCGACCAACGCCAAACCTACCGAACGGCAATTGAAGTGAATCGCTGGAATTATTCGCATTCATAGAGAATGCGCTAAATTTGCACAAAAAATGGGTGCTACGAGGTTAGTTTCGCCTGCTCTCTTCCCACCCACCAGTTAGTTAGCCAAGTCTGGTGGTCAGTTGCTGTTTGAATTGATCAGCATATCTCACGTCTCATGAGGCACACTAGACAGACAAAGTGGAGCTGAGTACCACTTGCCTTCCTAATAATTCGTACGTTATGTCCACCGCAGAACTCTCTTCTAGCCGAATTACGCAAGATACATCAATAAACGTCGGTCGATGATTGGGCCTACGTGCCTTATAACTGCCGCCTCTCCTGTTTCTGCCACTACCTCTGACGATGGACTCCTGTACGAGCCTGAAAGCCCAGGATAATAAACGAAATGTTCCGGTGCTCGACTCTTCTTCTTCACTTATGCATACACCTGGAACTCGAAAGTTCGCCTTCATTCGTGAAAAATCCGGGCGCGATGTGCTTCGGACAGCTCGCTGCAGGGAGTTATTCTCTACACGAGAGGCAGCAACGGACGAACAGTTACGTTTTCTGCACCGATGTCTCCAAGACGAACTAACTCCACGATACCTGAGATATAAAGCTCCCGTTAATACGGCCATGGGAAGAGAAGTTGTGGAGCGGTTTGTCAAACAGATGACAAGAGTTCTGATCGATGACTGTCACCGGCGTTTGCAGAAGTACAAGACTGAGATCGAGGAGAACAGAAGGCAGTGTGTCCACACTCTCGGCTATTCTATCGCCGCAGATCTTGGGAAGACGATCTCTACTCTGGCACACCATAGGCAAGCCAAGAAGAGAGAAGTTTTGGAACGGAAACTGACTAAGCTAAAACCACCAGGCACAGAAAGCTCAAACTTGGTCCACAACCTCTCTTCTAAGCAGCTAACAGAGCAGCAACTACGAGTGTTACAGCATGAAAATTGTTTTAACCCTGCAGATGCCGATCCCGTCGACTTCATTGCAGCCCTGGAAGCTATGCCTGTGAGAAGTGAAACATCCGATGACATGAAACACTCCGTCTGATAGCGTGTTGCCTCCTTGCTGATGACACACAGACCAACGAAATGTATTTCGCAGAGTGAGTCAAATGCTATGAGGGAACAGAGGAGGGACGACAGCATTGTCATTCTACCTGCTGACAAGGGACGATCAACCGTCGTGATGAATAGAGAAGACTATAATGAAAAGGCTAAAGCCCTTCTTGATGACAGAGAATTTTACAGACCAGCACAGAAGTCACAAGCCAAAGCAGTGGCAGATCGGCTGAGTAAAATCCTTAGAGAATACCAACATAAAAATGTTATCACGGAGAATGAATGGCACCAAATTGGGGCAACTGACACCGCTCTAGCCCGATTCTATGGTCTGCCAAAAATCCATAAAGCAAATGTCTCACTTCGGCCAATCGTTGCCCTAAAAGGCAGCCCCACCTACAATTTGGCAAAGTGGATTTACTCAAAACTGAAGTTCCTCCAAGGCAATTCGACTACCTCAGTTCGATCAGCCTCTCAATTCCTCGTAGACCTCCGAGGTCGGAGAATTCAATCGGACGAACTCATGTTCTCCTTCGATGCGACGTCGCTATTCACATCCATTCCACCAAACGTGGCCCGCGAAGTCTTGCGCAAGGGACTTGAAGAGGCGTCCGATGAGACTCAGAATGCCCTCAAATTTGAACACCTCATGAGGCTGTTTGAATTCTGCCAACAAACTTTCATCACTTTTGCCGAAGAGACCTATGAACAAATCAAGGGAACTCCAATAGGCTCACCGGTCTCCGGTTTGGTGGCAGAATTGGTCCTACAGGAGTTAGAAAAGATTGCCTTCCTCCAACATGAACCGGTGTTTTGGCGCCGTTACGTTGACGACACGTTCGTCATCGTAAAGAAGGACATGCTGTAACATTTCCACAGCCTGCTGAAATCAGTCTTCCTTGATATAAAATTCACGAGGGAAGAAGAACAGGAACAGCAGTTACCCTTCCTGGATGTGGTCGTCAGACGAAACCTTAACGGTGAACTTGAAACGACGATTTATAGAAAGGCAACGAACACCACACAGCTTCTCAGTTTGCACAGCGAGCATCCGTTGGCTCACAAACGAAGCTGTGTTAAGACGCTTTTCAGACGGATCCAAAGTCATTGCAGCAAACCGGAGGACAGAGCACGTGAGGCCCGTTATCTCCGTGACCAGTTTGTGCAAAATAGCTATCCGAGGGCATTCATAAGTCGCTGCCTACGCGGTCGCCACCAGAGAACTCGAACATCAACGCCACCGACGATATGGCATTCTCTGCCATACATCAAGGGTGTTTCAGAAGCGACCGAGCGAATTGCTGCGGAGCTAGGTGTTGGAATTGCACACCGCCCCAAAGCCACCATGGGCAGCAGGGTCATGAAAATCAAAGACCGGTTAAAACCTGAAGAGCAATCTGGAGTAGTGTATCGCATTCTGTGTCAAAAATTGTCCTTGTACCTACACAGGACACACTGGACGCATGCTCGGATGGCGCATACACGAACATAAGCTGGCTGTGCGGCGAGGCGACGCATTATCACAAGTGGCCGCCCACACTTACGAAATGGGTCAAGAGTTTGACTTCGCAGCCACCAAAATAGTCGCCCGCGCCGGAAGCAAAACAGGCCGAGAATTGATTGAAGCCTGGGCCTCGGATGAGAACTCGGTCAATCGATTTATCGATCTGGCGCCGGCGTACAGAGCCCTTCGTAGTCACCTCCAGTCGTGCGACGTCGGTCGATGATTGGGTCTACGTGCCTTATAACTGCCACCTGTCCTGTTTCTGCCACTACCTCTGACGATGGACTCCTGTACGAGTCTGAAAGCTCATGATAGTAAACGAAGTGTTCCGGTCCTCGACTCTTCTTATTCTTCACCAATAAACATAAATAATAGTTTTTCGAGTAGAAAGGTGAAAGAGGAGCATTAAATTAAATGAAATAAAAAGGAACCTTTTCACGCCATACTAAGTCCTGTTTTTCATTTTATAAAAGCAGAAAAAAGAAGATGAAGTGCAAGCAAAACATGATTCAGGCTGTAAAACTATGGCCTATGTGAGTTCCAGATTTACATGCAAAAACCCTGTTCGCTCACCAATTCCACTTCAACAATGAACTAGCTAAAAGTTATCCAACCTTTCAGTCGCCGACGCTGACGAAAACGTCTCCGATGGGAACCGATAGTGTCAGCCGCAAAACACAGTCCAGTGGACGACCCTGGCTGTCCTCGGTCGCGAACGCCGTCAATATCAAGTCTGGTTCTACGGCAAAAACCCCACCATCAACAACCTACTAACCGAGAGAAGGCATCCGCCTACCGCTGACAACAAAGTAGTCTTCTACTGTAGTTGCCGCGTTGTGCAACTGCGGCTGATGGAGATGAAGGACGCTTGGACGCCTCGCAAGGCCGAGGAGACCCAGGGATACGCGGATAGCAATGAACTGGAAAACCTCTTTGCCGCGATCAAGGATGTCTACGGTCCCATAGCCACAGGAAGCGCTCCTCTCTTCGACGCCAACGGAACTACCCTACATAGTAAGAAGACGCAAATGTTTAAATGATAGGCCGTGCACTTCAGAAACGTTCTAAGTCGTCTCTCCACCTTCTCCGATGCTGCCATTGCCCGTGTGCCTCCCATGGAGGCCAATGCCTACATCGAACTCGCGTCCTCTCCACACGAAACCATCAAGACCTGCAGCAACTCTCTAGAGGGAAGGCGCACGGATCGGCCGCAATCCCTGCTGACATCTGCAAGCACGGTGGCCGCATCATATGGAACACCTGACCGGCGTTATTTCAGGAGACGTGGCTTCAAGGAGACGTCGCTCAAGATTTCAAGGACGCTGCACTTTTCAGTCCCTACAAACGGATAGAGAACAGCCAAATCTGCGACAAACACGGAATAATATAACTGCTCAGCATCGCCGGAGAGATTTTTGCTCGACTTTTCCCAAATCGCCTTAAAATTTACCTGTAAAAAGGACGCTTTTCGGGAAGCCAGTGTCGTTTCAACCTGTATCGCGACACAATTTACAGGATATTTGCCAAACGCCAACTTCAGGAGAAATGTAAGGAGATGCGGACCCACCTCTACTCTACCTTTGTGGATCTGACGAAAGCCTTCGACACGGTCAGCCGCGAAGGAATGCGGAAAATTATGCAGAAATTCGGCTGTCCCAGGCGTTTCAGTCAGATGATGCGTCAGCTCCACGATGTCATGACGGCGCGCGTTACGGACAATGAGGCCTTCTCAGAGGCATTCTCAGTAACGTAGAGGGTGAGGCTGAGCTGTATCCTCGCACCTTCTATCGCCAGTCCCATGCTTTCTCTCATGCTGATGAACGCCTAGAGTGACAACCCCCCAGGATTCTCGTTGCCCAGAGGACGGACGACCAACTCCTCAATCATCAGTTAACGAACTTCTAGTCGCGTGTATCAACAACTACGGTACATGAGCATCTCCTTACCGCCAACGGCGCTCTCAACGCAGCCACAGAAGTGGGAACGCAAAGGGGCATGGACCTATTCGCTGCCACCGTTAACAACCGTGACCTCTTAATCAACACGGACAAAATGGTGGTTATGCATTAACCCTCACCCGGCACTAAGTCGTTTTCAAAATCGACGTGAACGACGCCCCACTGCAAGCCGTGGAAACCTACCCGGACAGCACCCTTTCTCGCAACACCATAATCGACGATGAAGTGGTCCGTCGGATTTCCATAACCAGCCAAGCATTCAGAACACTGCCTGGAAACATCACAGTTTCTACCTCAACACCAAAATAAAGATGTGTGCGTCGGTCATTCTGCCAACGCTGCTCGTCGAAAGAAGTGTGGTAGACAAGACAAAGATTCTCGATCATAAGTCAGGGAAGACGGAGTGAGTTGGACAACCTTTTCTGTTTTGGAAGTGCGTACACATAGGCTTTGTATGTAGTCGCCGCGAGCGCGCTCTCCAGGTCAGTTGTTGTCTGTGTCTGCCTTCGAGGTACTGAGACCCCGCGCGTCCGCCAGTCAGTCAGAGGGGGGACAGCGTTGATTGGCCTGGAGCACTCGCAAGGTTAATGACAAGCCTCGCGCGTCCCAGCAGCGTATCGATAAGGAGTGTGAGGCGGACAGAAAGGCAGCGTGCCAAAGGCGGAGGGCAAGGAGACGATAACTGCCACATGCTGTATGGAGCGGAGTCCTGGGCGGTGTACTCGGAGCGGGCGCGAAGACTCTGTCAACTTTCAATCAGCTGTCTTATACTGATACTGAAGTTGATGTGGCAGAACCAGATCCCGGACATGGATGTACTGGAGCGGATGGCAATCCTAAGCATTCACGCCATGCTGTGACAATTTAAACTCCGCTGAAGCGGTCACTTCGTGTTAATGAACCATGAGCGGTTACCGGAACGACTCTTCTACGGAGATGTCGCCACAGGTTCCCGCCGACAAGGAGGTTCAGCCCGACTCTACAAGTGCGCTCCAAATGCTTCTTTCAAGCGATCAACCCTGAAGACCTCGCTCGGGACCAACTGGCCTGGAGGAAGACAGTGAAGCCAGCCTCAGGGAAATGCGAATTCAACTGCAAATCTTGAGTTCCTCCACCCAGCAACGTCAACGCTCAACCTTCCCTAGCATGTCCACGATGTCAGGGAATATTCAATGCACCAATTGGTCTTATTGGACACCTAATAAAATGCAGTACCCAGACGACACCATCTGATATATCTCCATCCATCCTAGCCTGTCCCCCCACGTCGATAATCACCCATTGCCGAGGTCCTGGTAGTCCACTGCCATACTCCATCGCTTCAACACATGCTGCGGCGGCTGCTGTTACCACCAGCACCGCACACAATCCTGACACACCGTTAAACATCAACCTCGTCACCGGCAACACCACTGATTTAGACACGACCCTAACCTGTCCGCATTGCGGTCTCACATTCACCTCGCATATCCGCCTGATCGGCCACTTGGGAATCCGACGCATAGAGACTGGCGAAACAGTGCCTGGAGAACACACACGCCAGCCGCATCTTCCTCCACTGTTCGCACTGTCCCGCACATTCACCCACCGCATGGGCCTACCCGGTCACATGTGTATCCACAACAGTGGAACTAACCGCAGTTCGGACATGCCTAGCATATCTAGCATGCCTAGCTCAGCCCAGATCCCACCGCCAACCGCGCCCATCGCCGGAAACTCCACTACCACCATCATCACTGTAGTCGACTCTGGCACTTCAGGTCTATTCTGACTAACACTGTCCCCGCACATTCGCCTCAGGCATCGGCATGGTTAGTCACTTGCGAGTACATCCCACAGAGACTGGCGAACCAGTGCTTGGAGCACCCATATTAACTGCCCGTTCGCTACTTAGCTGCCATCACTGCCCGCCCAGTACGGGACCGCATGGTTCTGTTAGGTCACATGCGTATTTACGAAAACCTACGGTAGACAACCGTAGGCTACACCACGCCATCATAAAACACCATTGCCCATCGCAAGCATTCAATTTCCACCTCCCACAAAGGTGGAAAATCTGCTTCGTGACCACTTCTCCATGTGGCTCCTCGGCTTCATGTGTGATCCGAGTCTGAGACTACTATGATGCGCAAGCGCCTTGGTCTGGAATGCTGCCGACTGACGCCTCAACTCACACCACGCAGTCTGCTAAGTTATGTTCGTTTGTATGGAGTGGTGGACTGGTGGGTTGAGTGCCAGGGTGTCTCGACTTCTTTTCAAAGTGACCTGCGGCAGTAGTCTACATGTAAGGACTGTGTGCGTTTTATGGGTAGTGCCTCTCAGTCGATAATAAACTGGTTACCTAACCTCCGAAGGGTAATTGCGCAGACAAAATTCAGGGCTGTGCGCCACCCTTCTGGAGCTTAAGGATTGTGAGAGTCTGCTATGCCAGGATCAGCAAACCATGATCCTCGCAGCCTGATGTGAGTCGAGAGTTCTCTGGAACTTGTTTCCCCTGCCGGTAGATGTGCCTGCGCTCTGCTGGGTATACAGATCGCGTGCATGTTTGCCCATATATTCTCAACTTTCTGGTGCCGTTATCGTTGGCAAAAATCCTTGTAAAATAGTTGTTGTGAATTAGGGGGTGTGGAGTGATACGGCCGGGGACGGTTTCGGCGGTCTCATAAATTTGCAACCTCTCCCACCTCCGGTCTTCTTGATTCTGTCTTGACACCGGGTCCAGGTGGGTAGTGGGGAAGAGAGTGCGGTAGACGCAGCACAAGTCTACTATAATAATACCTTAATTCACGCAAAAGCTCCCGCGCTTGTCCCACTATGCTGCGGAACACACGTTACACATTCTAAATGTCGAGCGCTAGCTTATTCGTCGTTTAGTGCGACCAAATGAAACTCAAAATGCATTTTAATACATGCAGAATAATTTACGTTGCAAAAGGAAGGTATCACTTATAAGTGCTCCCATAACAATTCATCATTTAGCGCCAAACAGAGGTCTATCTTGATGTGTTAAGACGAGCGGTATAGCGATGGCGTACAGGGCTGTCGAACTTAAATGACTTCATCCGACGTCTAAAGGAAAAGGCCTTATGCGATTGATCACGAACAGGTTCAAAATGAGATAATGAGGGAAATCGAACCATGCTCCCAACTTTAGGCCCGCGCTGTTGTACATAAAATAGTTACTGGGGGACCATCGTGAGTTTTTACGCCACTTACGATGCAGCGTTCAAACAGATCCCGTGAAAACAATAATATCCGTCTGCTTAGGCCTAAAGAGACGATGGCGCGATAGAAAACGCTTAGAGTCATTTGCCAAATACTTTGAATATGCAAAAGTACTTGGATATTATTTCAGATACAGATGGCAGAACCCAACAGAAATGAAGTTGAGCGACACCAATTACATATTTGTGGCCCACTTCAGTTAAACTGCCTAAAAACTAGTGTTCAGTGAGACTGAACTTTCTTCGAGAAATAAAAAAAGTCTTGGTAGCCGCAACCTGCTTTAAACATAATCCTCAGACATACAAACACTCGACAATTAATTTATACCTCTATATTCTGTGAGACGACAGGCTGGTCAGACAGTACGCTTATTCAAGCATTGCGCGTGCTTGCTCCGATTCCCGTGGCGGTAAACTTACTCTGAATTTACGAGTAGTGTTTATGCCAAAATAGAATTTTCCTAAAGTGGCAAAATTGCGTCGAAGATATGTCGGAGAATGAGGAAGTCATTATCGCACCAACTTCGAACATCAGCAATAAAGGCGAAAATTGCCACTAAGGAAGGACTGTGCGATATTTCAAAGTTAATGACGTAGTTGTTTTTTAATTTTTTCACCCCCCCCTCAAGTCATTCAGTTAACAAATTACTGGGATGGCTTCCCCTCCATAGAGCAAGATAATATAGAAAATGTAATTTTTGCGATTAGATGACTTTGAACGACTTACTCTGACCCTTTGCCAATGTACCTTTCTTTCGCATGAGTGCCGTGAATATTTGAAAGCACTGCACAGTGTTACACACTAAAGAAATAGGCTGTAGTCCTTTGGATTGACGGAACCAATGGCAAGATGCATACGAGCTATCGTTGTCGGTTGAGATTCATCGGTTTCGATAGAATAAATATATAACGTTTGCAAGCTGTCAGCAGGCGGCGGGTGATGTGAGCATGTTGGTTGATTCACTATGATGTCAACCTAAGCGCAACTTCATGCCAACATAGAGCATGACATCTTATTTCCGCGCGTCTATCTAGGGAAGTCACATCTGGATTCTTAAAATAAACTCCTATACCTTGAAAAATATCTAGCTGGGAGTTTATTAACTTACGGACTCAACTTTGGACAGTTGCACTAACACTTATATAATTTCCTCCCCTACTTATCTAACCTACATCTGTCTTAGAAAACGAGGAACCAATGATGAACGAGATTACCAGTGCGAGGCCTGATTGGATGAGGGACCCCCGGTTTCCCGTGACGTGCGCGGTCGTATCTCCGAACGTATTTCCCGTCTTTTGAGAGCCCTTTTTCCTGAGCATATCCTGTGCCTCGTTATCGTTCTCAAAACCACCCCCAAATGTTTTTCTTTTCGTGAGATCTTCGTGTTTGATGCGAAATGTCTACCACTGCTTATTAACTGTATTAACACGTCAAATCTGCACATAGAAATATGGCAGCAGGCAGTACTTCATTTCACGATGGTCGACTTCAAAAGGTTTAATTCGCAAAGGCATCGCGATGCATATATGTTTTAGCAGCGTTGACTGCTCGGAGAACCTGCACTACTATAAACCAGTGATTGAAGCCGTCTGATGAAGATGACACATTTAAATTTTTTTGTTTTTCAATAATTCAATGGGAGGAACGTAGAAACTGGATGATACATCACCAACCCATTAAGGTAAGTTTTAAAATCACTTTAACCATTTTACATTGATAAATTAGGGAGTAAATGAAGGATGCATCAAAAGGAAAAGAACAAACAGAGGGTACCCAATACCGCAGCGTTTAATTTCAATAAAGTCTGAAGAAGGTTTATAAGTTGTCAATTGTAACAAATGAGAAGATGATAAAAAATGTGCCTATTCCATGGCGAGGGCTCATGAAAATATAATCAACCATGAAACTCCGGCAGTATGCGGCCCGCGTCAAAGCGCAAGAATGAAGTAAGAAATCAGTTGAATGGTCCAACTGCTACAAACAAGGGGAGAAGTAGTTTGGACTTCATTCTTCATTTGCATTTGACGTGTCTAATTTAATGTTCATGTAGCTGCAGACAGTAATATCAGGCGACTCGGTTAACTTGGGCTTGCTGATAATGACAAACGTGTATTAAATCGATAAGTTCAGCTATTTTAGATAAATCCTGCCAAAACTGTTTGCCGTCTTCACTGAACATTGCGACATGTGCACTCCGGTAACTCTCCTCCATATCAAAGTGTTTATGTGGTTGTTAGCACACCTTCGAGTTAAAAAATAGAGTTGGATAACCTACTCAGTACAGCACTTAAAATTTGCCAGTGGCAAAGTTGACTAGTTTGTCTATCATTAGAGATAACAAAAGAATGGCCCGTTCATTGTTTTAAGCACTGCTTACCTAAGGACGCGCGGTTGGCCATGCACTCGTCGCACATTAACTGCAATGATAAAAATATCTTGCTCATGTCTGGTTAAGATATTATATGGAAAATCATTTAGTAATTATTCAACAACTGGAATATGTCCGATGTTATTGGCAGCGGAAGTTATTGTGTGTCAAAATATCTTGACGCCAGCTTCGTTCCCTGTGATAACAAACAGAGGTAATTTGAGAAAACGACGTGAGGCCAGGCATACGGCTCATTTGTTCAAATGGTCAGCGCCACTTGCTGAAGTTACCGACTAATGTTTTTGCATGGTCTCGAATTCCAAGGGAGCCTTATCAGTATTAATAGGAAAAACAGAGGGGTTATGTTTAATACCGAGACTAGCTCTTCGATTATCCTTTTCGCGTCGTTCTAGGATTTGGATATAATGACGTGTTAGACGGTTTCTCTAAAATTCAGTCCTAGTACTCAACAATCAATTACTTTTCTACTAGTATCTACTACTATTTAGTAAAAAGACGTTTACGGTCCTATTAAATAGACCGTTCATGTCGTATGCATCTATAGGATTTCAAAAATTGAAAACCGTATGAGCTGTGGACGGCGGTAATTTCATGGAGGTCGCTAGTCGGCGTTCATTCGTAATCCTTCTGAGAAAATATAGTAGGTTGATTTTCGGATATTCACGTAAATGCTGTAAATTAGTATTGAGCGGAACTTGTATAAAACTCACAAGTTGTAAAGTATGCGCACAGCAAGTTGTGTAATGGAAAGGCCGAAATCAGTACTAGCTATAGGGCGAATGCATTCAACAATAGAAACTAAAGCATGGCAACGCTCAGTATACAATCCATGAGTTTGGAAAAGTTCTGTCAGAAGTATCGCTAGCTAAGAGTACTTCCGGTGACTTTTGGGCAAAAGTTTACTTTTCCTGCAGTAGCCTAAATAAAAGCAGAAAAAACGCCTATATATATTGACATTGATAAAAGTTTAGCTGCAGTATGTGTTGCAGGGCAATGAAAATTTAGGGATTGAGTTGCTGCTTATGATTTCTAAAGGTCGCTAAGAAGAGGGCAATCGGGAAATAATGAATCAGAAGCGCAGGAGGCAAACAAGAAAATTTCCGTTGCAAGCAAGACATAGCAAATATACGAGAGTGGCAAGTTAAAAGGAGAGAGAG